CAACCGGTTGGTCTTGACTCTACATATCCCACACACGGTCGACAGGGACCTCCTACACTACTGCACACTCTCGTATCGATTGCTTGGGTTCAGTAGTGTGAAGGGCTCGCTCAGGTTCATTAGTGTGAAGGGATCGCTTGGGTTTAGTAAGCGAAGGGATCGTTTAGGTTCAGTAATACTAAGGGATCACTCCGGTTCAGTAAGCGAAGGGCTCTCTCAGGTTCAGTAATGTGCTCGCATATACACTCGTATGAGAGAAATCAATCTTGCATCGCTCAGGCCCGACCATCCACCATATACCAAGAAATCCCCAAAAAATTATCGCCCTCACATCTATTAGGATTTTTTACATCATGGACGGCCCAAACAATGTCATGTAGGTGTGGCTCCGGCCCACCTAGGATGAAAAGCCCATTTTTTTTATCATAATTGTTTGTCATAGAAGTAGGTGCTCACCTCATCCATGATGATATGTGTTTTCATCACAATTATCATCATGGAAGTGTCACTTCCATGACAGATTTTTCCCATTCAGGCCATAATGCCACATATGTGTCTTTTTCTTGTAGTGGTTACCTTGATTATGAAGAATATAGTTCACACAAAAGCATTGGGTGTTTACAGAATAGAGTTTCGCATCCTCCCTGCTCCTAACCTCCTCCTTGATCAAACTTCGAGATCCTGGGTACCCACAGGGTCATAGAACAAGAGAGAGATAACTTTGTAGCAATCAAAGACATACATGACATCAATTATTCAATGTCATTCCATCGATCCTCATAGGGTTGCAAGGCTATACCTGAACCCATTGCCTTGCCGAATTACTCACACAAGAGGAAATCATCGGAGAAGACATATATGAATGTTTAATATGTCTTACAATGGTTGCTGGATGCGATACATGATTACAATTATGGATAACTTGGAGGGGAGATGCTATGGTGATGGTGATGGCAGCGGCTATGGTGGTGAGATGGACATGGTGGCGGCTAAGGTTGGAAGACGGCTTTTGTTTGCCCGTTTCATGAATGGTGCTCTCCTCATTGTTCTGTTGGTGTTAGACTCTTTATAATTGTTGGAGGGATTGGACCTCATGTTGCCTCCAACACCTGGTACGAGAGCTAGTACGAGCGTGTGCACTCGTACCATTCATTGTCTTACGCTCTGGTGGCCTTGCCACGCCTCCAATTCCTTCCATCCCTTCTCCATTTTCCTTTTTTCCTTTTAAGTGGCAATTTATCTCTATATTTGGCCTCTTTTCCCGTGGTAACAAATTAGAGAAAGGATTTTGTGATCTCTCACATTCATTGGTCATTAGTAGCAATACCAGGGTGATTTTCTCAGGATTCCAAGATTATCTGGTTGAAACAACGATGTAATAAGCGTAAAATATTGCTCATCACTCAGGCGTCATGTGCTTACATGATTAGGGAGCGCTCGGGCAAGCCACACCCATAGTTTTGTTGTTCCGCGAGCTAGCTCGTGGGAATGATGGATACCGACTCATTGTTCCATGTCTTGGAGTCGTGCTCTGGGGAGGAAGATAGTTGCGGGATTCAATCTTCCATAGAGGTTTTTATGGCTGGTATGCTAGCCACGGATGTGAGAAATTGGGGAGGTGCATCGGTCGATCCGGTTGTTCAACCCATAGTGTTGTAGGAGGCGAGGGACAACACGATGGTCCACAAATCACTCAGGAGCAGCTACGGGTGGCAAAAAAATACTCCTCAATACTCCTATCCCTGGAGATTCCTCGCCTGGCAAAGCCCTGGAGGTCGCACACCAGACCACTCTGGTTGAGCGCGCCTAACTAGCGCGAGTTGAACGTGAACTGATTGCCCATGAGCACGCGCTGGCAAAGGGTAATCAGTCGTGTCGTCAACCGGTTGCACCTCGTGGTCCTTTGCGGTCGGGGCATTAACAACAAGTTTGAATTCGGAGGCCCAATCAATCTCCGTATCCTCTGCACCTCGATTGACAGTGTCCAGAATGCAACTACATTGGTAGATGCGATCCAACAACCAGGGGATGATCTTGTCTCAAATGACATTTGAAAACTTTCGACATTCCTGAAGGCGGCAGTCACACAAAACGAGCCGATCTCTCGGTTTCGAGACAGACTGGCATCTAGAAGCTGAGTGCCATAGAGAGCCGAGTGCCGAAAGTTGCATCTAGTTAGTCCTAGAAAGTAAAACATAATGGTAGAGGATGAAGGAAACAAAGAATGAAGTTTTCACCTTTGACTATGGATGAACTGCCATTTCGTTCTTTTCTTCTTTGTTCGGCTTTCACAAGCAAAATACCTTGAAGCCAAGAGTACCATTGCTAACATAGTCAAGTGAAGAGTAATAAGAGAATTGTAGGAGCTTGCCAGGATGGCTTGGTAAGTAAGCTACCCGTTCTTTCTCTTCTTTCCTTCTCATTTTAGTCTCTTTTTTTACTAAACGTATAATCTCCTTTCCGTGGAAGGGGTAACATAGATGGAGGCACATGTAGACAAATACAAACCTTTTCGATCTTTTGCCTAAGAGAAGTAGTTGATCCCTCTGAGGTAAGGGTGAATCGAGACTGAAAGCTCCTAATAAAATACCGATAGTTGCATCTTCACATCCCCGATTGACAGCTAGTAAGAGAACTAGCAGTCAAGCAACAACTGGGTGTGATTTGTTGCCGCGCCATCGAGGAGATCCCCCTTGGGGCATGATGATCTTTCCATAGTGTCGAGTGGACTCCCCTCGGCAATGTGATGACGTTTCGGCATGTGGCATAGAAATGCGCCTCGTGGGCAAGACGACTATTCGATGCGACGGCAAAGGACCCCTCCTACTGATCGTGATGATTCTCCGTGCCACCGGGATGATCATCCCGACGTCGCGGTGTTCCATCTCGCAGTCAGGACGACACTGCGTGACCGCGGGATGATCCACCGGGATGACTATCCTCGGGAGTCGCGGTGACTCGTTCATTTGCGTTTCTGTGTTTGAAGATTGGATCCTTCA